AGAAAACCGCCGCGCGCCTCGGGGCGCACGGCGGGCAGAGAACCGCCGCACGCCCCGGGGCGCACGGCGGGCAGAAAACCGCCGCGCGCCTCGGGGCGCACGGCGGGCAGAAAACCGCCGCACGCTCCGAGCGCGCGGCGGGATGAAAAATCCGTCGCACGCCACGGGGCGTGCGACACAGAGAGTGGCAGTAGCAGCGGAAGCAGTGAGGTGGTGAGCCCACCCACAGGATCGACCCAAGGGGATCGACCTGCTCTGATACCATGTGAAAATGGTAGGTAGAGTTAGGAGCCATAGCTAAGTACGTCCTAGCTAGGCAAGAGAAGTTTAGGCAAAAGAAGAAGAAGAGGGGGTTCACTAGAAAGCAGCAGGATACATAAAGGAAACCCTAAGGGGTTGTACTCGCTATAGAGTACCCCACTGCAGGCTAGAGAACAATGACATTCTGACACTTTGTTGTGCATCTTATTATGAATGTTTGCTTCTTTTGCAGGTGAGGTTTAAGTTCCGCCATCCCAGTGCCACAAAGGCCCAGATGGATCGCTCTGGAGATCCTGGTGCCCTTGCCAGGCAGGCACGTGTCGTGCAGCGCTGGATCAACTGCAGTGAAGTTACTCGGAAGGATGGGTGTATTGGGATTGGCAAGCTGTGCATTGTTGGCTGGAAGGAAATTCCAGAGGATGAGCTGGAGGCTGACGACTTCGGAGATTTCAGCTTGGATGAGCTGACAAGCAACATTGACGCAGAGGAGCAGGAGTATGATGAGGAAGAGGAGCAGCCAATGCTCTGGGGGAATTAGTGCTTTCTGTGGTAGCTGGAGGTGTAGATTAGGTGCAGATCTGTATGTATGCTTTATGCCATTTTAATAAAAGCCCGTTTTTTAACGATTTTGCAACCGTTTTTATATTGCATTCAATAACGGGGGCATTTTGAATAAATGTATTGTTTCTTGTTTTAACGCTGAACGACATTTATAACATCTGTTCAGTACACTTCGTATTTACTGACTAAATTCAATTTTATGGATGTACAATTCGTTTACGTCAGCCCTCACTAAAGTCACAAATTAATAATTGAAATAATAGATTAGAGTTATTGGTTCACCAGTCGTTCAGATTGAAACCGCGTTTCCACCTTTAATTGAGTATGATTCGGACTGAACTTGGATGGCCCGACAGCCAATAGAAGAAAAGATTGGACAAATGTTCACGCGCCAGTTGTCCTGCGCGTGTTCGCCCAAATTTGCCGAACCAGCTCGAAGGGCTTGGGAGAATTTCCTGCACCTGTCGATTGCTACTTGACAGATGTATCGGAAACCAATCGCATTTCAGGGGAAAATGCCATGAATCGAAAACTACACGCCCACGACTCGTTTCCAACTTGTTTACCACACCCTCCAAGTTCGCGATGCTGTCGGCATTTTGTTTTTAATAATAATTATTATTACGGTGGACTAAACCTGTATTTCTTTGTCGTCGGTCAGGTCCGTAATTTGAATGAAGAAGACATCCATCTACTACGTATACTGAGCTACACTCTCGAACAGTTTATGTCTGTAAATTTTATGTCGCGCCATATTGATCAGGCCTACCCGAAATCGCGCCCACGTCCCTTCGTCTCGGACTACGTTGTTTCTGTCAAACTGTTATAATGTTTAGGTTCTGTAGGCTGTAGTGGTGTAGCCCATAAGGGGTACAACCCAATTAGGGTTAGTACTCGTATTCAATTTGATCTCAATGTATTCATCCCCGTTCAGAATTCTAACATGGTATCAGAGCAGGTCCAGTCCCAGGACCGTTTTTTTTAGGGCCCACTGTATAGTTCGCTGCCCCTAGCGCGTTACCCTGCCTGTAGCACCCTACCCTGCCCGTCGCGCTGCCCCACCAGTCGCGCTGCCCTGCCCTGCCCGTCGCGCCGCCCTGCTAGCCGCGCGCCGCCCTGCCCTGCCCATCATGCCGCCCTGCTGGCCGCGCGATGCCCTGCCTGCCCGTCGCGCCGCCCTGCTGGTCACGCGCCGCACTCAACCGCCCGTCGCGCTGCCCTACTAGCACCGTGCCACCCTGCCCTGCCCACGCGCCGCCCTGCGGGCCGCCGCGCCGCCCTGCCGTGCCCGTCGCGCCGCCCTGCTGGCCGCGCGTTGCCCTGCCTGCCCGTCGCGCTGCCCTGCTGGTCGCGCGTCGCCCTCCCCTGCCCGTCGCGCTGCCCTGCTGATCGTGCGCTGCCCTGCCTACCCGTCGCGCCGCCCTGCTGGTCGCGCGCCGCCCTCCCCTGCCCATCGAGTTGCCCTGCTAGCGCCGCGCTGCCCTGCCCTGCCCGCGCGCCTCCCTGCTGGCCGTAGAGCCACCCTGCCCTGCTCGCCCTCTGCCCTGCTGGCCGTCGCACCGCCTTGCCCTGCCCGCGCGATGCCCTAGTGGCCGCCGCACCGCCCTGCGCTGCCCACACGCCGTCCTGCTGGCCGCCGCCCTGCCCTGCCCTGCCCGCATGCCGCCCTGCTGGCCGCCGCCCTGCCCTGCCCTGCCCGCGCGCTGCCCTGCTAGCCGCCGCCCTGCCCTAGCCGTGCGCCACCCCGCTCTGCCCTACGCGCTTCTCTAGCGCTTGCACGCCGCCCTGCTCGTCGCGCCGTCCTTGCTTGCGTGCTGCCCTGCTGCTCGCGCGCCACCTTGCTCTGCCCGCTATAACTACTCTCAGCGTTCTCACATTCGATCCTGAGGGCCGTCCGATCTTGTTCGATACGTGGCTGGATGACTTACAGCTGTTCCTACAGAGCGATTCTAGAGACGGTGTCTCGTTGTTTGACCACACGTCTGGAGCCTCTCTTGCCCCTCCCGACACAGCTGACAGTGCGACTCGCTCACAGTGGCTTACCCGTGACGCTGCTGCTCGCCTAGCCATTCGCAACCACCTACCGTTAGCCGAACGCGCTCACTTTGGCCAGCACAAGACTGCTAAAGCCTTGTACGATGCTGTAGTCGCTCGTTACTCCTTCCCTGCCACTACTGCTCTTGGTCGCCTTATACTCCCCTACCTTTTTCCCGAGCTGTCTGCCTTTGCCACAGTCGACGACCTAGTCACCCACCTCCGCACTAGTCATACTCGCTACCGCGCCGCGCTTCCCACCAAGTTTCTAGACAAGAACCCTCCCCCCATGTACATCACTCTCTACTTCATCGTCACCCACCTCCCTAACTCTCTTGGAGCAGTCAGGGACCTCTTTCTCGCCATGGACCCCACGGACCTCACTGTCGACCTGCTCGAGAAGAACCTTCTTGCAGCTGAGGCTAGCATAGTCACTGTAGGTGCTGCTCGTGGCACTCCTCGCACTCCCTTCTTTGAGGGGTGTTCCCCAGCCCTTGCCCCCATCCTACGCATCTGCCGCTGCTGTTGACTTCCTTCGTTCTGAGGATGTCGGGGCTGTGTCTGCTCCTAGTGGGAGGCGCCGCAGCGGCAGGGGCAAGGGAGGCAAGGGTGGTGGGGGTGGCAGTGGTGGAGGCGGTGGTGGAGGCGGTGGAGGCGGTGGAGGTGGCGGTGGTGGCGGAGGGAGTGGTGGTGGGAGTGGAGGCGTTGGTGGCGGCGTTGGTGGCGGCAGTGGGAGTGGTGGCGGCGGTAGTGGTGGTGGTCGGGGTGGACCCGGTCAGCAGTGTCTGCGCGAGACCCTTACGCCCCAAGAGCTTCGTGAGTGGTTTGCTCAGCGTGGGGCGTCTGGGGGTAGTGTTCGCTGCCAGTACGTCATTCGCACAGGTGACTGCGCTGGTCAGACATGCGGGAAGGTTGGTCACACACAGTCCCGCTGCTTCACCCGTCTTGACAGCGCCTGGCGCGCAGAGTTTCCCGACGCGATTGAGCCCCCCCGCTAGCTAAAGCTGCTTAGGCAGGGTGTGGATATCTTCGCTCTTGACTATGACGCTATCCTTGCTGCCATGTATGCTTTGACTGTTACCTGTATGTGCCGCCCGACCCAAGTATAGAGGGTGCTGCTCTAGGTGCTAGTGGGTCCGCTCTCCCTGGAACTGCGCCTGCTGAGGCCTTGCACACCTTCACGCTTGACTCAGGTGCTTCCCGATGTTTCTTTCGCGACAGCACCACAGTCACACCACTCCCAGCACCGGTTGCAGTCTCTCTGGCTGACCCCTTTAGGGGCCCGGTTCTTGCACGTTCCTCCATTGTTCTCTCATGTCCGGCGGTTCCGTCTAGCTCACTGTCAGGTCTTCACCTCCCTTCGTTCTCTACGAACTTGGTGAGCAACGCCGTCCTTCAGGATGAATGGGTTGATACCTTTACCCCTAAAGGACAGCGTGTGGCGATCTGTACATGCTCCCCGACTGGCCGTCACCTGGCCACGTTCACCCGTCGGCCTGGGTCGAGTCTGTACACACTGAATACTGAGCCTCCTCAGGTAGCTGCGTCTTCGTCTGCGTCAGGTTAGCTAGCAGCCCCCTGTTCGTGTCGTCTCCTGTCGCACCAGACTCTCCTTTGGCACCACCGCCTTGGTCACCCCTCCCTGCCACGCCTCCGTGGCATGCACTCCCGCCTCCTTGTCTCTGGTCTTCTCGGGTCTCTACCTCCCCTCCCACCCTCGCCTGCCTCTCCCTGCCTTCCCTGTGTCGAGGGGCGGCAGTGCGCTGCTCCTCACTCCTCCTCGTTTCCCCCGCCGACTGCTCCCCTGCAGACTCTCCACATGGACGTATGGGGCCCAGCCCGCATCCGTGGACAGGGCCGCGAGCGATACTTTCTACTGGTTGTTGACGACTACTCGCGTTACACCACGGTCTTCCCCTTGCGCAGCAAGGGGGAGGTCCCTGATGTTTTGATCCCTTGGATCCGCGCTGTCCTGCGTCTCCACTCAGACAGAGGTGGTGAGTTTGCCTCTGACCTCTTGCGGGATTTTTGTCGTGGGGAGGGCATCCGCCAGTCGTTCATGCTTCCGGCCTCTCCGCAGCAGAATGGGGTTGCTGAGCGCCGCATTAGCTTAGTCATAGAGGTCGCTCGTATCTCCATGATCCATGCGGCTGCTCCCCATTTTCTGTGGCCGTTTGCGGTCCGGTACGCTGCGCATTAGCTTAACCTCTGGCCCTATGACTCCTTGCTGAAGACCTCGCCTACACTACGTTGGAAGGGGGAGGTTGGCAATGCGTCGGTGTTCCAGGTCAAGGGCTCTCGTGCCTTTGTCCACGATACCTCCGCGGACAAGCTCTTCTCCCGCGCCATTCCTTTGCGTCTTCCTTGGCTTTCCCCCTGACGTGCCTGACTAGCAGTTTTACCACCCCACCTCGCGCGGTGTCCTGCCCTCTTAGGACGTCACGTTTGACGAGTCGGTTCCCTTTTACCGTCTCTTCCCCTACCGCACTGCCCCTCTCCCACCCCCCCCCCCCCGCTCTTCCTCGCTCCCGGTCCCCCTCCGGTAGACCCACTCCTCTTGGTTGAGCCTGACGAGGTAGCTGTCGACTCTGGTGCTGCTGGGGGGGGTGCTACTCGGGGTGCTGCGTCTGGGGGTGCTGAGCCTGAGCGTGCGGAGCCTGGGGGCGCTGAGCCTGGGGTTGCTGAGTCTGAGGGTGCGGAGCCTTGGGGTGCCGAGCTTGAGCGTGCGGAGCCTAGAGGTGCTGGGCATGAAAGTGCGGAGCCTGGGGGTGCTGAGCCTGAAGGTGCGGAGCCTGGGGGTTCTGAGTTTGGGGGTGCTGAGCCTTCGGAGTGGCGCTGCTGGAGCTCTGGGGGCTGCCGCTGGAGACACTGCAGCTGGAGGCACTGGAGCTGGAGGCGCTGGAGCTACTGGTCCTGGAGGTGCTGGCAGTGCTGCTAGAGCTAGAGGTACCGGAGGTGGTGGAGCTGCTGGTCCTGGAGGTGCTCGTGGTGGAGGTACTGGAGCTGCCAGAGCTGGTGGTGCTGCTGGTACTCGAGGTGCTGGAGGTGTTGGCGGTCCTGCTGGAGCTGGAGGTGCTGGAGCTGCTGGTCCTAGAGGTTCTCGTACTGGAGCTGCTGGAGCTGGTGGTGCTGGAGGTGCTGGAGCTGTTGGAGCTGCTGGTCCCAGAGGTGCTCGTACTGGAGGTACTGGAGCTGCTGGAGCTGGTGGTGCTGCAGGCACTAGAGCTGGAGACCCTGGAGCTGCAGGTGCTGGAGCTGGAGACCTTGGAGTTGGAGGTGCTAGCACTGGGGGTGTTGGAGCTGTCGATACTCGTGCTGGAGGCACTATGCGGCAGCGACCGTACTTCGTTCCACTACTTCGCCAGGTTCTAAGTCTCCCGTCTTCTACCGACCTTACTCCACCTTTACTGTGTCCACCGCCAGACCAGTCGAAGCCACAGTTACAGCCAGACTCCCCACTGCCTTCTCCTTACACTGAGCGGACAGACTCTCTTACAGAGCATCGTGAGCCTGCGTCTCGTCCTTCCTTGCCTGTTCGCGCTATTCGCACTGGTCGTCGTGTTCCTCGTCTGCGTCCTCCTCCTGTCCCCGGCACTGACATTATGGCACTTCGTCCTTCCTCTGCTCCACTGCGAGTTCCCCTGCCATCGCCTCTTGCATCCTCTCTCGCTGACGGTCCGGACCCTGAGTCTGACTTGGTTTGTGCTGCCAGTCCTACTGTCACACGTTTTCTAGCCACTGTTGTCACTGACCCTTTGTTTGAGTCCGCTGCCGCGTCTGCCCTTGTTGCTGAGCTTGTGTCAGAACATTATAGCTTATGCTGTTGTGTAGGCTATAGTGGGGTATCCCATAGGGGGTACAACCAATTAGGGTTTCATATTTGTACTCACTTCATTTCATAGCTCATTCATTCTTGTTCAAATCTTCACATGGTATCAGAGCGAAGGTCTCGGGTTCGAATCCCGGTGTATGCACTTCGGGCATCCCAGTGCGGGGGGGTGTCAGAGGTCCACTGGTGATCCCCGATTGATCCTAGAGAAGGGTTACAGGCACGTTGGCCTGGGGGGTTATGGGCGCACGGACCCGCTACTTAACAAGCCCTTTTATCCCAGTGGTCTAGTGGCTGGGATTCTGGCCTTGTGTCGAGAGCAGCGACTGGAGCACAGAACAAAGCACATTGCTCTCCGCTACTTCCTTGCTCGTGAGCTACAGCAACGTGGTCAGTTGCGGCTTGCGTACGTGGCCTCTGAGGCCAACACTGCTGATGTCTTCACCAAGGCACTTCCGCCTTGTGATCATCAGCGCTTCTGGACTCAGCTGGGTCTTGTGCCCGTCTTGCCTCACTTGCTCTCCTCTTGACCTTGCCTGTACTCTCACATATATATATACCTGCTCTTGCTTGTCTAGCTTTATATATATGTGTGTACTCTTGCATGTGAACTGGCCGTGTGGCCTTGACCCTGTGCTCGGACTGTGTGGTGACTTTGTGATCCACCCTGAGCTTGCTTTGCTTTACTTCGCTTGACTGGTCTTGTGATCCCTTGTTCTCCCCCACTTTGCCTATGGGGGTGTGTCAGAACATTATAGCTTATGCTGTTGTGTAGGCTATAGTGGGGTATCCCATAGGGGGTACAACCAATTAGGGTTTCATATTTGTACTCACTTCATTTCATAGCTCATTCATTCTTGTTCAAATCTTCTCAGCTTGTTGACTTTGCTGCGGCCTGTCGTCTCGACTACGCCGCTAGTCTTGTTGCTGAGTCTGAGTCTGTCTGTCCTCCGTCCGTCGGGGGTGAGTGTGCTCTTGGCACGGACGTCCTTGTGGACAGTCAGGAGGACTTTGAGTGTCTTGCAGCTGCTGTACCTCATCTCGTGGCCATGCTGCTTGCACCTGTGGGAGACCTAGATGCACCAGACATCCCGACCCCGCGCTCTTATGCAAAGGCGATTACGGGTCCCTACTCCTCTCAGTGGCAGACAGCCATGGACAGAGAGATGGCATCCTGGAAGTCCATAGGCACTTACTTCGACGCAGTTTCCCCTCCTGGGGCGAACATTGTCGATGGCATGTGGATTTTCAGGGTGAAGCGGCCGCCGGGCTCTCCGCCTGTCTTCAAGGCTCGGTATGTTGCTCGAGGCTTTTGTTAGAGACTAAGGACGGAGTCTATGAAGATTAGGGGCTTAAATTTCTCATAATCGTTGGCTTAGAATTCTGGACGGAACATCAAGTTCACAAGAAACGCCGTCGATGAAAGGTGCACCGTTAAAACTTCACCAAACTCAGATATGTTGTAGCCCTGGTATGTGGCTACAAATTCTTTATTTGAATCGTACAATAAGGTGAAGTATTTCTTGAGTTATGAATTTCGGCGCACTAGGGGGTATGCTCCCATAGAAAGTTCACTCAATCACAATTATCTCACAAGTTCCACAAAAAAGGATTGGAGTAGCAATAACCAGGTAGGAGGGGATGAGGAGGACGAGAGGGAAGGTTCCAAGAGAGTCCCCAACCAAGGAAACCCCATGCCACACAATTCCCCTCTCTATAGGCACCCCAACTTTGACAGTTGTCACTTTCCCAACCTCCACAATCCACCTCATCCAAGTTGGCCATACTTGCCAACCCAGTTTGGTTTCTCCCAACCACTTGGCAGCATCTACAGTGACGGGGACGAATTTCCGAACCCCCAAAAGTCTGTACCCCATATTCAGTCACTTCACAACTTCCCAAAGTCGTCGCATCCCAATCAAAACTTCGAACGATTATAACTTCGTCGTTCTTGTTCCTATCGCGGCGATTCTTGGATTGTCGGAAAGCTCTTGAGCAGAGGAGTCACTTCAGATATCTGCTCAAGCCAAATAACATTCAAACACACACTCAGAGAATCCAAACCACACCGAACACAAGTTCTTGCGCACGCTCACAACACGCATGCAACGCACGAACATGTGCTGGGAGGCAGACAGACGTGAATGCATATGATAGCATCACATAGCAGCTTTTGTAAGCAACAGGGAGTTGACTTCTTCCATACCTTCTCCCCTACCCCGACGATGACCTCTCTTTGGATGCTGCTGCACGTCGCCGCTCAGCGTGACTACGAGCTTCACTCTCTTGACTTCAGCACAACTTTCTTACAGGACAGCCTGCACGAGGAGATCTGGCTGCGCTGCCCACCTGGCTTCACTGGGTCGTTTCCTGCAGGTACCCAGTGGAGCCTCCGGCGGCCAGTCTACGGTCTCCGCGAGGTGCCCCGCGAGTGGCACGACACACTGAGGACAACGCTTGCGGCTCTTGGGTTTGCTCCTTCGACAGCTGACCCGTTGCTGTTTCTACGCACCGACACTTCACTGCCGCCGTTCTACATCCTCGTGTACGTCCATGACTTGGTTTTTGCCACTGCTGACACTAAGGCACTGGCCCTTTGTGAAGTTGGAGCTGCATAAGAGACTCTCCATCACTGACATGGGTGAGTTGTGCTGCTATCTTGGCTTGCAGATTACCCGGGACAGAGCACGGCGCACCATCACCCTGACTCAGTCACACAAGGTCCTTCAGCGCTTCGGCTTCCGGTACTCCTCGCCACAGTCTACTCCTCTGCCTACCGGTCACTCGCTCTCAGCTCCACCTTCGGACGAGTACATAGAGCCAAGTGGCCCGTATCCAGAGCTTGTGGGCTGCCTAATGTACCTGATGACCTGCACTCGACCTGACCTTGCCTACCCTCTTAGCATCCTGGCACGCTACGTTGTGCCCAGGAGACACCTACCAGAGCACATGGAGGCGGGTGTTGCACTACTTTTGCAGTACGTTGGGCATGGGGCTCGTGCTTGGAGGACGGGCTCGAGTTGTCCTCACTGGACACGCAGACGCGTCTTGGGTTGACGACTTGGCTACGCAGCGGTCGTCACAGGGTTACACCTTCAGCCTTGTCTCCAATTCTGATTCTTGGTGGTCTACCCGCTTATCTCCTGTTCTCAGTTCCAGTTGTGCGGCTGAGATCTACGCAGGGGCCATGGCTGCACAGGAGTTACGCTGGCTCACCTACCTGCTGACCGACTTGGGAGAGCGGCCTAGTTCTCCTCCAGTTATGTACGTAGATAACAAGGTCATGAGTGCCTTGTGTCAGGAGCACATGACGACGCACATGACGAAGCACATTGCTCTGCGTTACTTCCTTGCTCGAGAGTTGCAGCAGCGTGGTCAGCTTCGTCTTGTTTACGTGGACACTCGGGCCAACAGTGCTGATATATTCACCAAGGCAGTTCAACCCGGTGATCATTTGCGTTTCTGTACTGTTTTCGGCCTTGTGCCTACTTTGCCTCACTTGCTCACTTCTTGACTTTGCGTAGTGCGATCTATATACATATACCTTCATGCTTACCCTTGCTAGGTTGTGCTCACTGTATTGTTTGTTCGTGCATGTGGACTGGCCTTGTGGCCATTTGCTTGTGCTCGGAGTGTGTGGTGACTTCGTCGTCCACCCTGAGCTTGCTTTGATTTTCTTGACTGGTCTTGTGACCCCTTGTTCTCCCCCACCTTGCTTATAGGGATGTGTCAAACTGTAGTGGGGTAGCCCATAAGGGGTACAACCCAATTAGGGTTAGTACTTGTACTCAGTTGGATCTCAATGCATTCATCCCCGTTCAGTATTCTGACAATTTCCGTATGTCCTCTCTTGTGAGGATCAAAGGAACTGGTTCATAAATTATAATATGAGCGTCTGGGTACTACACGCGGCTATATATAGGCTCGACACAAAGGCAGTAACCCAGGTGTTACTAGAAGGTTCTGCGGGTCGCGAAGCATTTCGAACAGGTCCTTCCCGAATTCGGTAGAAGGCAATTCGATGGTAATCGAAAAGCCTAGAATTTGGTGCACGCAACCTAGAACGGTGCTATAACTATAATAAAATGTAATAAGCAACGTTTCTAAGGAAAACGAGTAAAAGCATGCCTAAGAAAATAAAGCTAACCTAGATTATGCATGATAAAGCAAAATTAAGCAAGGTCCAGCAAAGCCGTCGTACTCTCACAGCTCTAGTGCCTTGTAATAGTGTAGCTGTGAGCCGAATTTGATTCGCATCGTAGGTCAGGATCGTGCATCTAACAACTTCGAAAAAAGATCTCGAGTACAGCTACGAATTGACGGACGTTGCTCCCCTTCGCTGTGAGAGTCCGACGGCTTTGCTGGACTTTACTTGCTTGGTTCTGCTTTATTATAAATTATCTAGCTTAGCTTTACTTCATCTTGAATGCATTTGCTTGATCTCCAAGATTCGTTGCTTTACTATATTTATTATAGTTATAACCACCGAATCAGATTGAGTGCACCAAATTCTAGGCTTTTCGGTTGCCACCGAATCGCCTTC